GAACAGAGACCCACTGATTCGTTCTTCTCTTATAAACCTAGAGAGAAGTCTATGTTTCAGATGGACTTATCTGTGCTGAATCATTCACACTGCCTTCAGACTTGAACTCTAATTCATGCTCTGTTGGAGTTTTTCTGTGTGTTTACACCTTCAGTACCAGTGTGTTTTAATCAAGACACACAGTAAGTGTCTGGATCCTGAACCCCAGGGAGGAGTTTGTCCTCCGGGTGGTGCTTCTCATCCAGCATGGGGCTCTGTGTCTCGGCCGGAAGAGAAACAAAGCTTCAGTGCATTTATAGCCTGGACTGCTGATGGGCAGTGGGGTGAGGAGACAGTGAGTCAACCATCCACTCTGAGGATGTGACCCTAGTGGCAGAAGTGAGGAGGTCAGGGAGAGTCCGTGCCGATGTCACTCTCTCCGTGCTCTCCTCACTTTAGTCAACCCTACAGTGCGAAAGCAACAGTCTTATTGTGCTTTAATAATTAACAAAGATGGATTCAGTTTGACTCCCACACCCTCTGTGGTGGAAAGAAAATCGTTAAGGTTACACTGGTTAAAAAAAAAAGAAAGAAAGAGGAAATGACAGTTTAATTTTCCCAACAGTAACATTTTATTTATAAAATATAAAATCTTACACATCTTAAAATGACTATGTATGGTATACAATGTAATGCAGTTTTAATCTTATTTTCCTTGGGGAAAAAAATTCAAAAAAGTTATTTTCAAAAAACAATATCTTACCTGGAACCATCAGATTGAAGAAAGACAGGGCTGTATTTTTTATAGCACTGTGCTTTATATTAAAGAACATTAGTATAATAATAATATAAAAATTGCAAAAAGAAATTCTAATTCAGAATAGATTTATAGATGCAAATAAAATGATGGAATAACCTGAGATCTCAAACATAAGAATGAGTGAAGGGAAATATTTTTAACCCAGATTTAAAATTAAATTTGTCAGTAAAGAAAGAATGATTGAAAAGTCACGTTTTAACAAATTATAAAATAATTCAACAATTGACAGTTTTATACGTTTTTAAAATTTTTATTGCACCTTAAGTCTGTTAACCCATTTTTATGGAGTTTCATTTTGTAGTTTAGAAACCATTGATGTATAGTCTGAGGCTGAGCAGACTGTGAACTTAAAACACTTTTTTATTGGCCTCACTGAGCTTAAGTTGAGGCTGCGCAGCTGACTGTATACATATTACAAATGAGATCATAACTAAGGTAATTTGAAGCAATACTGCATGGATACAGGCACGAGCAGCAGGGCAGGATGAAGTGTTTCCTACTTAATGAAGTTTCACATTTCTGAGAGTTTTACCCCAGGAAGCACTCCAGAAAGGCAGTTTGACTCTATATACATTTTTAAAAGGCAGTTTTCTCAGTCTACTTTGTATGCAAGCAGAAACCTCTCTGTGAGGAAGAGCAGAGATGTGAAAACATAGTGTCTGCTAAGTCATCAGTGCCAGCAGCTGGGCAGATACTGAATAATCACAGGGGGGAAGAGAGAGAGGGGGGGGGGAACTCCTCTGCTGTGACTCATGCCAACCTCTTCTCAGTTTGTTTGTTTAACAAGGATAGGACTTAAAAAGAGGTCAGGGGTCAGGATCTAGCAGCCACTGTTCCTCGTCTGGTCCGAGCTCAGGGCACGCCTTAGGTTCTTTGCGATGACTTTATCTTAATCAGCGGGGAAGTCAAGCCCTGCAAACCCAGCAATCAATGGATGATCCTCTGTGACTCACTTCATTTCTCCTCCCTCACATAAACAGGCCGTTCTAGACATCCAGTCACTCCCTCGTTGACGGGGCGAGACAAATATTCAGGACTGGCACTGAGGGTGTGTTGGAATCGGTACCAGCTGCTCCGTGGCTCTGAGTGAGAGAGGCAGTGACCTGGGTCAAGCCTTTTAGCACAGCAGTGGCTTAAGTGGCCAGTGACCTGGTTTAGGAGCAGGACAAATCAGAGTGGATAACATCATGATTGACAAATAAAGACAAATGGGAACCGGTCAGGAAAAGATGTTTGTTCACACGTGTGCAGCACAGAGCTTCACACGTTTTTCTTCATCAGAACCCTTTGATTCTGCTTTTCTTTTACCTTAAAGTAGAAGAGAATTTTAAACATATCTAAGTTCCTATTATATACAAAAATTAAAGATTTTGTTTTGTTGAGTTATAAAAGTTAATATATATTATTAGCTATATACATTTTTTACAATACTTCATTTTGATATCCAAAGTTGTACGTTATGTTTCAGTAGGTGTCAGATGTGAACTAAAACATGACGAGACGAGTCCCCGGTCGTCACAAACAGCTGTGACAAGTTTTATCATTATTATTCTGCCAAGTCTTGAGCAGTGGTCTGTTTCATTTTTTTTAACCTCTCAAAAATGAACCAATTAGAAATCAGAGCAAACATTAGATTTTGGTTTGAATGGGAACCACTTTTGAGGGCTTACCATTTTCCCCCTCATCGCCCAAAACTGAAAGATTCCAGCCCTGAGAGAAGGGCAAAGAAGCAGCCTGTGATGTGGTGAGAAAGACAGTTCCCACATTTCTACAAAGAAAACTTTACTCAATTTTTGATTATCATGGCAGTCAGCGAGTATGGTCGGTATATGCACCCAGGTAATAGCATGGGAAATAACTTGACGATGTTATAGAGAATGTTTGGGACACACCCTGCAGGCACAATGTAGGATTTACTTGTTTTTAGTCATAGTTTCTCTGTCCTAGCAACCGTGCAGTGTTCTGTATGTACAACATGTGGTGCAGGTTTTGAACACGCCCTGGTAGGTAAGGGAGAAGAAGGGTGTGTCTGCTGTGTACCAGCCCGCAGGACAACACTCATTTTCCCATGCAGAACCACTCCCTGTTTGTCAACATGGCCTGGAAAAAACTGGATGCCATTTTCTCAAATGGCAGTTAAGGAGAAGACAAAAGTGGTTTGACCTTAACTGGATCTAGTGTGACACTCTATACTGGGGGTGTCCAAACTTTCTTAAACAGGGTCACGTACGAGAGTGGTGAAGTACTAGTGAGCTAACTGCTCCTTCTGTGATACTTAAGACTATAATTAGCTGGTACACAAATGAACCGTTGCTGAAGAAGTGAACCTAGGACACATAATATTAGGGTAAAATAAAACACTTAGCTAAAATAGCTAAAAGTAAGCCAATAATATATACCAATACCCAGATAGTTAGAGG